TCATGGCCACCAAACGTTATTTTCATCTGAACATAGAATTAGTCGCAAAGATCTTCGCCCCGGATTCGGATTTTTATAAAAATAGTTTCGGATCGGCGGATTTCTATACAAATTGCACCAGAATGGCGGATTTGATTACCCCTATTCACCCCCCTTCCCTTTCATGCACTTTGGACACGTTTTATGATAATCTGAAAGGCACGTTTTATGATAATCTGAAAGGCACAGATTTTATGTCATAGATGAAAATGTTATAGATAAAATCGTCGAGAGGTTACACCCGCTTCTCCCCTCAATTTCTCTTCAGTTTTGAAAGCATGTTAGAATGACAAAGAAGTGGGGGTCCGATCCCGGCCCATTCCCTCCGTGGCTATAACGCCTTTGCATAGTTCCAATTTGCTGCTTCTTTTATGCCGGTGCATATACAGTATAGAATTCCCAATAAATTGTAAAATCCTCACCATATCAGGAGCAGAATATGGGAAATCGGGTTCCAGATAGAGTCTCAAGCAGTATCTGTTGCCATTGTTGGTGATGAGCGAGACTTCGACTTTGCTTTCGCCTGCTGGATCTATCCATGTCACCTGACCGGGCCAGCATCGCTCTAAAACGCTTTTCTCAATCGCAAGACGTTCTTTTTGAAACTCTGTCCTTTCAGTGATTGGCTTGGATTCTCTTAACAGTTCAGAAAACAAAAAATCAATTGTAAGGCTTGAACCAATTATTCCAAAACTTAATTACACCTGTATTGATCACAAGAGCTTGTATATAGCGAAAACGTGATATTTATCAGGGCGATAACAGGGTGACATAAAAAGGTTATGTCACTGATATCGCTTTTTGTCCCGCTATTTTAATAATTGTTGAACTGGAGCAAAAAACGATATAAATATATATATGTTATTTACCGGCTGCGAGGTCCGTACTGAAAAAATATTTCCCCGAGTGATCGGCGTAAAAAGCTGCCTGCTGCTGTAGCCAATTAGATTGCAGAAAATCCAAAAATATTATTAGACATGCACAAATAAAAAATAAATTTTGTATCATTTGTATATCCTCCTTGCATTTCCAAACATAGACAAAAGTCACAAAACGGATACATGCATGTACGTAGTTGTGACCTTTTTTGTCTCTTTAGAAACCAGTGCAACCCAAAGTTGAAAAAGTTTACGATTGTTTTATTTCTTGAAATTAATATTTAAAAGTAAGACTGGATCCTATACAAAGTATACAGCGATATTCATTTCTATACCTCTTGTTTATAGCCGCTTTTGTTTTTTCTACTTCTTCCATGTTTTCAATCTCGACCTTCAGTCCTTCTACTTCAATGCCATCAATCTGCGAGAATTCTTCCTGCAAACGTTCTGTTATTCCTCCAGATTCATAATCCGCCAAAACTTCAAGAAATCTTTTATCCGTGAAACAACGAAGTAGAACATGTAGAGATCCTGGTTTGATATCTTCAACTTTCTGATCTTTTCTTTCGCCACCGAAGCCCTTTTTAACAGCTTCATCAATGACTGGTTTTAATAGTTTATAGCCGGTGTAAAGAGCAGCAAGTTTAACTAATTCTTTTGTTATTTCAACTGCATTTTCATTAGCACCACCTAACTCCTTTGCTACCCCAACTACAGCATCACATATTTCTTTTACTACGAACACACTACTAGTGCTAATGACGAAGGAAAAGGCACCACCCTTCAACCCAGCTTGTAGAACATTGCTAGCTGTGTCCTGAACTACTTCTCCATCTGTAGAAGATGATTCTGCCATCACAAAATTGGCACTGAAATTAAGAATGGGGCGAAAATAAATCCATTTAAAAAATTGTACTAAATAAAATAATACTCCCTCCCTCTCCGTAACTCTTAATACTTTTGTTATACTTAAACTACAGTACCGCATAATTTTTTTGTTACTTGCACATTATCAGTGGTAACGATCACAAACACGGTTTCCCAAAGGAGACTTTTGCACCCCCCCCCCCTCATTATTGCAAGACTGTTGCCATGCTGTCGTTTTACTTTTTCCATAGCCTGCATGGCAAGCGGTCCAGGCTTGCCCGATTTTAGGGACCGCCTGCCATGCAGGCTACTTTTCAGTCCATTAAAACATAACCGTCACGACACGTTTTTAACCTGTCGCAACTGTCGTCGAGATAGAATTCGAGTCTAACTCGACGACACTGTCGTGAAAATTGTTGTAACTGTTGCCAGCGTGTCGCGACAAGATTTTTCTTCATGTTTCCATCTGGTACTTACAACACGTTCGCGACAGATACGACCCGATATGGAAACCACGCTTTAAGACGTCGAATTTTTAAAATTGTTGGCAGACCACAGTTATTCAGACGTTAAATTTGGCCTGCGCAATGCGCATATTCCAACAATCGAAATGGACATGCACCTGCCAGCGAAATTCGTCATTTGATTTCCAAGTGAACTGTAAACAGTAATATATTTGTCCCTAATAAAGTCGTATTCTATCAACATCGACTGATTGACTTCGGTTTATTCCGCTTCGCTCGACTGCATTTAATTACTAATCGTAATATATCAGACAACCGAATATTGCTACGACAGCCTACGTAAATAACAATACTGATCCAAACGGTGAATCTTTTACTTTTGGCTGCTATAAAATATGAATTGTTAAGTACAGAGGGATGTCTTGAAACGAATATGACATTCTCTATACTGACTAGTTCCGTGGTGAGGTCTGGACTCTTGCACCGACAATCACTAGAGATTTATTGTGGTATGCAATCGTTTGCAACAACAAGTCAGATTCAGTACAACCTAACCGCTATGCTAGTGTTGAAATATAGATTTCAGAATTTCCATACCTGGCTGAATATTATGATCGCAAGGGTTATATTCTGTAATGTTCAATGACAATTAATGGACGGATTTTTCAATTTTTTCTTCATCATCGATGGAAGCGGTAGTTTTTTTTTTAACTTTCAGTATACAATTTTGATCTATACACTTCTTTATAAACTGGATTCCGGGAAACCGTAGGTGGTATAAATATGCAAATTGAGAATAATATGCAACAAATACAAGCCGTGCAGGTATAAAGTAGTTTAGCAATTGTGCAAAGTCGTTGGACAAAAAAATTTCGGGTGCGCACTATGCTCTATAGCGGTCCCATCTTTCAACGCGGAATGAATGACTGAAAAAATTGCATGGAGACGAGCTAGTCAGTTATATTCGTATAATATTTTTTTTATCTATATATATCTTGTGAATAGTTCTTTAGTTATAATTTCACGCAAGATACTGATTACAAAACTCAAGGATCTTAATTTTTCGATAAATGTTTTGAATCTGTCTAACTTGATACAAAACTATTCAAAATCAGTGAATCGAGTTATAATCGACAATCTTAATGGTCCATTTCTCGGAGAAAGTAACTCATCGGTTGTCCAGTTCTGAGGTGACCTTCGTAAGCTTCAAGCCAGAGACGTCACTTCATCACGGCTTCATACAGCGTGGAGAGATTTGTCCACTGGCTGCTGTGGTAGGGACAAATTTGTAAATACCCATCACGTTTCGACAGAGTATATGAGTAACGGCACTTCTTCCCCAATCAGGCATTGGCTTTGGCGAAGACACCACAACCATATCAGGAATTGAATTAGGAAAATCTCGACCGATATAAATTCTCAAAGTGTATTCGTTGTCGTTGTTTGTTTTCAGTGTGACTTCTAATTTCGTATCGCCGGTAGGATCGATCCATTTTACACAACCAGGGAAGTAACGATCCAGTATGTCTTTCTCTATCATGAGTCGATACCTTTCAGCTTCACTCCATCCAGTGGTTGGCTTGGATTTTCTTATCAATTTAAAGCAAATATATATATATATATATATATATATATATATATATATATATATATATATATATATATATATA